CGTTTTATTTTATTTTTTAAAATTCTGTCATATAGTGGAAGTGCACTTCATAGGTTTTATCTCATATAGTCTTACCTTAGAAGACTTGATTAATCCATGTAAAGATTGTATAATATGGCCCACGCGAGTATTTTGGTTTAATATAAATATTTTTTTTGATTAGGTTTAGGTTTAGGTTTAGGTTTACGTTCTCTTTTGATTTAGGATCGTTTGGGTTTACGTTTAGTTTAGGTTTTGATTAATGAGCAAATTAATATCGATTTTTTTAAACTTTTTTTGGAAAAGAGAAAATAATCTTCATAGTCTTGTTCTTGTTTGTAAAATGATAGAAAAAAATTGGGGGACTTCTACACCGTTTAATGACTTTCCAATTTTAATTGGCTATTTATAAGACATTAGTCTTCTTGAAATAAAAAAAAAATATAACAATAATAAATGGAAAAAAACACAAACAATATTATAAAGAACAATCATATGAATCCATTACTACGATTCATTTGAAGTCATTACATATAACTAAAGAGATGAAATTATCAACAGAGAAGATCACAACCCCTGATGTAGCCTCAACTAGTTCAAAGAGAAGGACATTCCCTTTCTTCAGATTATTGTCGACAACAAATTGTTTTCATCCATTGACGAGTCTTCTACGAACACCACTTTTGAGAGTCACAACCCACTCCTTCCCATTACATCGAAGCATTGTTTTAACCGAAATAGGAGGAAGATAGCCACAGAATCTCTTTGGAATAAACTGCAAGAACATAATGTATAGATAGGTTTCAGGGTTCATGCCTAGTTGGGATAATCAACAATTATCAAATCATGAAAATTTAAGAAAAATAAAATTACCAGAAAATCACGCTTAATGTACGATTTGGGCACCTTCATCCGAAACCATGGATAGAATTCTTTTTCAATCCATACATTAGCATTCATGTTTATGGTATCTATTTTGTTTAGATAGTTGGAGATGTTTTTCTTGTGTTTAAGAGATATATAAAGAGTAAAAACTTTCAATTTTCCTCCAATTATATTTTTACTTTTCCCTTTGTTTCCCTCCAAAATTTGTATTTAACATTTTAGTCAAAAAATGTCTTCTTGTTTTCCCTCCTAAAAAAGAAGCTAGAATACATTAGTCCTAAAAGTATCATGATTTCCCTTTTATTATAATTAAGATTAACCAATAAAAATATATATAATTATATATTTACTATTATATAAATAAGGTAATATATATGACCTTAATTAATGAATTTATATAGACGCCTATTATATAAAAGGTCGAGTTTACTATGAATCATAATGATATAATTAGCTTAGGCTATATGACTACAATCATATTAGTGAATGGACTTATATGGTTGATATAGGCCGATACGTATGACCTTAATAATGAAAATATATAGACGATCAATTATTGTGAATCGCAACGATGCAATTATCATACTTCATACGACTACAACCATATTAGTGTAAGGACTTATATGGTTGCTATAGGCCGATACGTATGACCTTAATATAAACGGCTATTATATAAACGATCGACGTTACTATGAACCACAACGATATAATTACCTTACTACAATCATATTAGTGAATGAACTTATATGGTTGCTATAGGTCGATACGTATGCCCTTAATATAAACGGCTATTATGTAAACGGTCGACATTACTACGAACCACAACGATATAATTACCTTACTACAACCATATTAGTGTAATGACTTATATGGTTGCTATAGGCCGATACGTATGACCTTAATATAAACGGCTATTATATAAACGGTCGACATTACTACGAACTACAACGAT